TCTCTCTCTCTCTTTCTCTCTCTGACTCTTATTCATTCTCTCTCTTTCTCTCTCCTTCTCTCTTTCTCCTTCCCTTTCTTTCCCTTTCTCTCTCATTCTCTCTGTTTCTCTCGCCTTCCTTTTCTCTCCCTCTTTCTCTTTCTCTTTTTCTCTCTCTTTTTCTCTCTTTTTCTCTTTCATTCTCTCTCTTTCTCTCTTCCCTCATTCTTCTTCCCTTTCTTTCCCCCGTCTCTCTTATTCTCTCTGTTTCTCCCTCTTTCTCCTTCCCTTTCTCTCTCTGTCTCTCTTTCATTCTCTCTCTTTCTCTCTCCTCTTCTCTCTTTCTCCTTTCCTTTCTCTCCCTCTTTCGCTCTCATTCTCTCTGTTTCTCTCTCCTTCCCTTTCTCTCCCTCTTTCTCTTTCTCTCTCTATTTTTCTCTCTTTCTCCCTTTCATTCTCTCTCTTTCTCTTCTCTCATTCTTCTTCCCTTTCTTTCCCTCTTTCCCTCTCTCGTATTCTCCCTGTTTCTCTCTCCTCCTTCTCCTTCCCTTTCTCTCCCTCTTTCTCTCTCTCTCTGTTTCTCTTTCTTCCTACCTTTCTCTCCCTCTTTCTTTCTCTTCTCTCTCCCCCCCTTTCTCTCTCTCATCCCTTTCTCTCTCCTTCCCTTTCTCTCCCTCTCTTCTCTTTTTCTCTCTCTCTTAAAAATCTGCTTCGCTAAAAACCTGATAAGTGTATCAAGTTACAGAAATTGATTGCTGCATACCATAAATATTGATTGAAGCTCATTGAGGGCTGCCTGCTCTGATTAGCTCCTGACGTCACCCGACCAGCTGCTTTTTAAAAGGGGTAATTTTAGCCAAAACTCTAGGCAGCTTCACCTTCTTGGCTGTGTCTTTTAGACTGCCCAGTTTTTAAAGCCAGCATTGAGATCTTTATTTATTCCTTCTTTTCCTTGAATATATTTCTGAACGGCCTGCGTAGGGTCAAAGCCCAAAGTGAAAAGAAAAACAGTTCTCAACTTACAACCATTCTTTTAGTGACTGTTTAAACTTACAACAGCACTGAAAAACGGGATGTAGACACTACATTTTTTACACTTAGCACCATGGGAGCATCTGATGGCCACACGATCAAAATTGAGCCGCTTGGCAACTGACTTGTATTTATGATGCTTGATCCATGTCTCAGGATCATGCGACCTTCCGACCAGCTAAGTCAATAGGGAAGCCTGGTTCACTTAAATGTGTTACTAGCGAATAGATTGGAATGGAATGGAATGGAATAGAATAGGAATAGAATAGAAAGAGAATAGAATAGAATAGCTATTGGAATAGAATTTAATAGAGGAATAGAGTTAGAATAGGAATAGGAATAGAATAGAAAAAGAATAGAATACAATAGCTATTGGAATAGAATTTAATAGAGGAATAGAATAGAATAGAATACAAAAAATAGAATAGACTAGGAATAGAATAGAAAAAGAATAGAATACAATAGCTATTGGAATAGAACTTAATAGAAGAATAGAATAAACAGACTAGAATAGAATAGAAAAGAATAGAAAAAGAAAAGAATAACTATTGGAATAGAATTTAATAGAGGAAAATAGAATAGAATAGAATAGAATAGAAAAAGAAAAGAATAACTATTGGAATAGAATTTAATAGAGGAAAATAGAATAGAATAGAATAGAA